ATACCAACAAAGAGGGGAAAAAAGACAAAAACAAGGGGATGTTGCACCCCACCTGCGCTCACTACATACACATAAAAACACCGAATGGCCACAGCCGAAGCATCCAAACCAGTAAGTCAGGTGATGGGGCACATGACCCTCTATGAACAATAGAGCTATTCAGGCCTATTGTTAGGTGATGGCCCTCTTTTGCATGTRACTAACCTGTTTGTCCATGTGGAGGCAGTGCTTATAAGGCTGAGTTTATCTGAAACTCATCAGACTGAAGAAGTCTCTTGGAGGAGAGACAAAACGTTTCACTAAAGAAGAACCCATCCAGAGGACCTACTTATTTTTCTTTTTGGTTTTTTTCTACCTGGATTACTGAGACACATCAGGACAACTACTAACAACTATTGTTGGACGATAAACATTGTTGTCAGGTCAAATAAACAAAGGCATAATAATAAAATTCATTATGTACATTTTATTTATGTTTAAGTACGATAACATCACTCTTTTGTGAGGCAAAAAAAAGTAATTTTCGAAATGTAATTCTGAAAATTTTTTCAAGAAGGATGTTAAAGATGCAGCTGCCAGGAAAAAGACAGAGGATACATGGATGCAGTCAGACAGGACATGGAGGTAGCTAGAGTAAAGTAAAAATAATTAGAGAATAAAAGATAAGCACACTAGATTAAAATAAATTATAAACACTCTGAAGGACAACAAAATAAACACRCTTAGGGATATATAACCAGTGTAGAATAAAATAAAAAGGTGAAGGAAAAATATAAACAGTATGGTAAAGTGAAAAATAAAATAGTGCACGTAGTTAAAACGTGTTCCAGATGATGTTAAATAATATAAAATGTCCTATAAATATGATAAGGATATAAGGATGACTTGATGTTGTAAATCCTATCAGCCAAAAGTAAAAGGGATGAACAGTACTGCTAATGTGTTTTTGATGTTTCTGTCCCAGGGGTGACCGACAACGTCCTGATTGCAAAAGAAAATCGTCTGCTTGAAGTGGACAAAAAGTCTCAATGGTGAGAAGGACTTCTAGTACAGCAAAAAAGTCTTGTGTTCACCCCGTTTAAGAAAATAAACCTCAGCTTGACAACTCAAATATTGCACCGTTAGCCATGACAGATGTTATTACTGATGTTGCTTTGTGTAAAATGTGCTTTATTTGTTTTTAGAATGAAATCAGTGCTTTTTTCACTCCACAGTCTGGTTGTGGATCTGATCTGTCAAGGTTGCCACTCCGTGCTCGGCATGATTTACAAGTCTACTCCGAGGAGCATGGACAACAAGAGGTTCACTTTCTGTCTGAATGTAGCCGACATTGAAAGGTACTTTTATTATTCAAAGGTTGTTTTTTAAATGCTTTCATGAGTTTACATGAAAGCACGGTGGCTCAGTTGTAGGGCTGTGTATTGGCAAGAATTTGGCGATATGATACATATCATGACAGAGGGGTCATGATACGATATATCCCGATATATTGCGATACTATAAGCAAGGTGATATATTGAGATTTTTTTTGTCCAAAAATTCTATTAAATTAAAACCTTTTACAGGGGAAAAAAATGAAAAACCAAAATTCATTGTCTCAGAAAATTCTAATATTACAGAGACATGCCTTTGATACATTTAGCTGTGTTCTGCTTTGTATGTATTTTATTTTATTTGTTTCATATTTCTTATTTCATCCATGTTTTCAATTATTAGACTAAATTTGAC